GAAAATTTATAGCGTAGAGCTTCTTCTCTTGTTAAGAGTATGTATCGTGCAAGACGAAATTCATATTGTTACGACAGCGGGGGTCACGTGACTCTGGTAGCTCGTGATGAGAGTCTTGAAGATTCTCGAACAGGCTAGGCGGCCAGTATTATCGTATATAAGTGCGCTAGACAAAGGAGACAAGCAGAGAGAGTGGGGAACCAAGGACAGCAGTTACTGTCGGCGGGAGCCGATAGCAGATACAGAGATCGGAACTATAGTTGCTGACAGGCGGAGATAGAGACGGACAATTGAGTCAAGCGCGGTAGAAAGTGAGTGAATTGTTGTGAACTATAGTGTGTGTAACTGTGAAAATTAAGTGTATTGCAAAGTTGTGTTGAGGAAGAATAAACAAGTCTTATTTAAGGACTTGTATCGTAAAAAAATTAACAAACAAACACACAGAGACGTAATAATATACTTTGAATGAGTTATTATACGTTTCAATGGATGATTTATGACTGTCATACAATAAAAAAAAAGTTTACACAAACTAAACAAAGCCCTTTACTCACAACATATTTATTTATTTATAGAAGATTGTCAAGTTTACAAACATGTGCGTTGAAACCTTGAATGACATAGAAAGTCCGATATATTACATAAGACATTATTTTATTTTCAAATCAAGCATCAATCTATATCAAATAATGTCATAAAACAATAATAACCATGTACACTTTCAATAATGAAAAATTTTCAGAGGTCAACTACTGTTTTGAAAAAGGTTTAAGTTTTGCTTACTTTTTAATTTTCATGAACACAGACACATTCATATATATATTTTTAAAGTCTAGTTCAGGAGTCATAAAACGTGGCTTTAAAATCTAATCAACATAATTTCGTACAAGATGTAATTAAAACCTTTTCTTATAGTGAAGGAAAGAACGAATTATGATGTGTATGCATATTGCAATTTTACATTCAGTAAAATATATTTGAATAGTAAAAATTATTGTGGCTTTGCCATTGATAAAAAAAGACTACAATCAAATAAAAAAAAAAGGTGTTTAAATAAGCAAACTGGTAAAAAGTTTTTTTTTTTAAATAAACAAGTCAATTTTAAGAATTCTTTAACCATCATTAAAAATAACTCTGTAATTTATAGTTCTCTAGTAAGAAAGTTTTATAAATTTGAGACCAGTGTACCTATATATATAAAAATAAGACAACACTCTCTGATGTCCTACTATATCCAAAAAAAGTAAACTCATTGAAATATTAGTTTTTGAAACTTCAACACTGCTTTGCCATATAAGCTTTTCAGATGTTTAAGATTCAATACTGTAATGACAATGATGAATAATACTTTTTCTTATATTATCTTTTTGCAAACTTTACATAATTCACTACACTAGCTATGCAGCATTCCTTTCAACTTATTTCAAATAATCCAGTTACAACTACAAAAAGATAATAAAACACATATACAGAACACACAAACACAACATAAGATGGAAATTTTGAATACTGTTGAGAATTAAATTTTTGCAATAACCTTTAAGATTTCAGTAAGATATCTGTGCATATCATGAATGCAACTGTTCACAAAAGGTGTAATGTTTTTAAATAAAGCAGGTATTACTCTTCACTAAAGCCCCTAGGACCACTTGCATTTTATTAACTGAATAACAAAATGAAATTTTATTTATTCATAACTAGGATTACAAAGTTTTCAAGTTTTGCTGCAAAACAGAAACCAACAATGAACTGGCAACTTAATTGTAAGTATGCATATTTTTTTATGAGTTTTTGTTGCAAGTCACTTCCAATAAACAATAAAGTTTAAATAGTCTTAACTATTTACTGTACATTAATATCCTAAGACAAAAAACAAAGGAGTTTCTTCTCAATATTAATTTTCAAGAACTTCAAGCTAAAACATTAAACATGTACTAAGAAAATAAAACAAATGAGAATTAAAATGAACATTTCTTGATTGCAAACTATGAACACATTAAAAACTGAAACAAAATAAAAAAATGAATTGAATAACCAAAAACGATAAACTTTGAACTCCACAAAATGCTGCCCAAATATATAATCAAAAAAAAGTTTCGCACCAGTTCATTACTAGACAGTAAAAACACTTTGGAAATCATACAAGTAAACTATTAGTAGTATTCTTATATTAAGTACCAAACATTCATCAATATCTATGTATTAATATCAACAGAAAAATAACCATTTCAATAATGAGATCTTGGTAACAAACTTCTTATGTCTAGCAAGATAACTCATGCAGAAAGTGATAACAACAAACTGGCAACACAATGAAAGCCAGAAATTGTCTTAAAAGGTTAGTACTACTACCAAAACCATTTTTCTCTTTTGTTTTTAACACCAACAAAAGTTTATAAGAAAACTATATTATGTTTAACCAGTACAAGTATGAGGGTAAAAACAATAATAATCTTTAATATTGAAACACAAATGTATCTAAGATGAAGGGATGAGGACTGAAAAACAGCACACAAATGATGAATTTTCCAATAAATGCATATTATATTATTGTAAAGTTCTGCTAATAATACTAAAAAAACCCACTATAATATACTCTAATAATGTTACATTGTTCCTTTTCTCACACACTATATGAATCAAACAAATGAAAGGCTGATATTATAACCATATTTACACATTGTTGTCTTTACCTTACTTCATGGGATATTCTTCAACGACAGGTCACAAGCTTCTTAAAAATACAAGAAAATGAAAACTCCCAGTTGTTCATGTTTGAATCACAGTTTTAATTTGGATTTGATATCATTGAAGGTGTTAATCAATCAATGCATTATGATAAAGACATAAGTACTCAGCATGTATTTATGATGACAAAAACAAAGATGATGACTAAGGAAAATTTCAGCTTGTTTAATAAAGAAGAGACATCTTGTTTCAAACAAAAATCATTTCATACATAAGATAGCTACAAGAAAATTACTTGTTTATTCACAAGCTGAAATGACCTAGCTCTTTATAAGAACAAAAAAATATGTTAAAGAAGATGAAAAGTAGCTCATCTTTGAAGTATGAGGTTCACATTAAATATGCTGTAGAGAAAACATGGAGGTTGGTTAGCTGTATCAGTGACTGAGACAGGAGTATTCCTCATTAGTATACACTCATATGTACATGAAAGGGGCTACCTACTAAAAGGGAGCTATTGGTGGAGGTTGGTTATGTAAGTGAATGTGACAGGAGTGTACCTTAATGATATACACATAAATAAAAGGGATATCTATTAATTGTATTATGTAGGTGGAAGACAGTTTTACAAATGATTTAGCCTTCTTTATGAGAATGGTTTAAATATACTGACATATTACAACAGATCCAATCCAAGGTGCCACATTTATATATTTGATTGAAGGTATACATATAGTTGAAGGGATATGTTACAACCCTTTGAGGAAAAATGTTCTTACAACAAAATTAATAAATGATTACAAAGGGCACAACATTTTGAACAACAGAAACTTAAATGTTCTCTCTATCAGATAAGATAAACTAAAACATCAGAGCAATTAGAACAGCCATGGTTTCCAAAATCATACCCTAAACAATCTGAAGCAACACCCTCATCTGCAACGTGAAGGCCATGCATACCAAATGAAACATCTGCCCAACAAATCCACTGCAATGAAGTTATTTATATGTTGTGGTACCATTAACCAGATAATAAACAAGGATTTTAAGTTGATAAGTTTCAGAAGCCAAATATTCAGAAGTTTTCAGCCAATGCTCAAATCAATGGCTGTTTTCATGAGAAAGACTCTTAAAAAAATGAGAACATCAATCTTATTCAATCATATACACACTCACAAGTAAAGTCCCATGATCTGCTTAAACAAGATCTTGGATGCCCACATTCATACACAGATGAGGGTGTGTGGGAAGTTTGCCGAGACGTGTGGTCTAAGATTGACTATCCCATTTTTTAAAGAAGCTTATTACAATGGAAATATCTTGCAACAGGCCATCAGACTGAGTATGATCAGTGATGAATGTTTTTGTTATAATATAAATTTCAAGTATCCTCAGTATCAGTCAATGAGGTAAAAGTGTACCCAATGACATATAATACCTCAAAAAGGGTTATCTATTACTAGCAAGGGTATTATATATCATTGGGTACACTTTTACCTCATGTCATATAATACCTCAAAAAGGGTTATCAATTACTAGCAGAGGTATAAGCCAACACTAAAGAATATGTGTGTGGGGTGTTTTCCAAAAAATGTGACCTTTTTCTTTTCAACACAAAAGAATTTTAGTGATTCATCTTAGTTTAAACAAAACTTGTAAAATGAAAATATTCAAAAAATAAAAACAAAGAGTAGCTTAGTTTACCTCACAGTAATAAGCTGGTAGGTAATAAATGTTTTGGGTAAGTCTTTTCAAATAAAAAAAACAAAATCAGAAAATAGTGTACCTTTTACAACACTGGAGTAGCCATTCAACATCAAATCCATGCTACTAATATATTGTAGGTGGTGGATGGTTATTTTAAAGAAATAAATAGTATACCTAGATGTATTAAAAACGAAAAGGGCCAACTACCACCAGAAGTAGGAGGAGGTTTGATATACAAGTGTTATTCATAGCAAAGCCACATCAAGTTATTTTACTGTCCATCAAGGAGAATCAAACCCTTGATTTTAGCATTGTAAATCCAAAGACTTACCACTGTCTCACCAGGGGACAGGATATATAAGTGAGAGAGATTAGAGTGGAGTGTACCTTAGTGATATATACATACATGAAAGTGGCTATCTACTACTAAGAGGTTAGTTGCATCAGAGAACGAGACAGGAGTGCACCTCATCACACAAATAACAGTATATGGTGCATTCATACTTTATTATTGTTTCATCTATTGCAGAATATGAAAATTCTAATGTGTGTATATATATATATATATATACACACACACAATAGAAAAATAAATTTAATATAGATAACAATAGCAAATTATATGTTAAAATCTTAACTTCATTCTGTAACCATTTTTGAAAAATAATATGAATTAGTCAGAAAAATGGAGCTTATTTACTGAATAATACAATTTTAGATGCTAATTGCAATTCTAAATTCCACCAAAAATTGTGAGAAATGACCATATCCAGCTTGAGAATGCTTCCAGTCCAAATGAGAAACTAAAATTACATGTGAAGTTTGTTACGTCAACTTGCTCTCTTTAGGGTTCAAACAATTTTTGCACTAGCTGAAGATCAACTAACCAATATTATAAAGTTATCATTAGTTTTATATCAATGACTGCTTAATACCCTCTAACATTAAGCAGACATCTACCTATCTCACTTTATACATTGTTTTATATATTGATGCAATAAATATGCTCAAAACATGATGTAAAAACTGAGGAAGAATATCCTACAAAGAAAAATAGGCATACGAATGCACCAAGGGAGAGTTGTACCAAATTGGAAAATTATATGTAAGCCGAGCTTATATTACACCCACAAAGAATTGAGTAATGTTATAATAAGATGATTTTGAATATGCATGTAAGCAAGTCACATAACAACCACAGCCAAAATAAAGTTGTAGTGAACTAGAATGTATAAGTCCTACATTTTGGTATTGTTTGAATTTCATATGCGATACAACTGATTGCTTTTGGAAAGGGTATGTAACAGTCCCTTCTGACGTAACAATATTCATACACTCGGATCATAACAATGTGTTCATATCGGAGATTTAGAATTTCCGAGATGTGGATAGCCCTTGTACTTAATGCCATTGGAAAACAAAAGAATATGAATCAAATTTTAGCACCAGGATCATCAAGAAAGAAACAAGTCCTACCCCAGCAGTTGTGAGCAAAGTGCAACATCTTGTAATAGATTAGAATCTATGAACACAAAAATCTGTGGCAAAAGCTGTCCAAGTGTCCCAGACAACAGTATGCAATGTAATCAAGAAAGATCTCCACCTGGAAAAGCAACAGAAGTCATGTGTACACAAGTTACTTCCATGCCATGTCCATTCAACTGCCATGTATCTCAAGAAACTGGAGAATGATAGGGGTAGTCATGCTATTCCATACAACGACATAAAGATCAAGTCACTAGATGCAGGACCTATGAGTTTCTGTGTGATCATACTATTAAAATGAGCACTGGAAAACCATTGTTCTCCAATGGTAGATAGATTATGGAAAGCAGTAGGGAGGAGTAGTGTGCTATGGACATGACAGCCTTATGATGAAGCCTTTTGCAATGGAAATTATAGGGCTATCATCAGGATGCACAGTCATGAGATAGAGAATGACTGGAGATCAGAAACAGACTAAAAAATATGCTGAGGCTCAACAAATGTTTTAATATAATTTATTCACCCTACATACTTCAAACTTGCAATAGAGCAGTCATGTAGCAAAACCACCTGAATATCTCTTCTTACATAAGCCTACCAATTCTTGCTTTTGGCATGTGAGTGAATGTTATGAATACCTCTATTTAGAGATTTACCAAGAAAAAGCATGTACACTCTTCTTGAGGGGAAACATTTGATGTACAAAATGGCAGCAATGCTTGAGAATAAAAAAAGTTTCACTATCAAATTCTTTACATAAAGTATTTTATCATTTTAAAAATATTATATTAGTATTCATTCACACTAATCTCAAGCTTTTGTGTAATGAGTGTTCAAATCAAATTACATTAAACAATGTGCTAGAGGATATAAGCTGACTTAAAATATGCATATACATCACTAAGTATGACATACTGGATGAAAAATTAAAGGAATGATGGTGATACCTGGGCTTGAAACTACACCTCATTTTGTTAGAAAAAAACATTTCTGTTGAGTACTATTATCCTGCATCCTCACAAAACCTCTAACATACTTTTGCAAAATATCGTTTAACAAGATCAACTATCACTAACATTTGATGATTAATGCATTTGTTATTCTTGAGTCTAAAAGGCTATCATATGATACTTTCAAAATGAATTACATATCATAACATTTATATATTTATAATTAGCTCAAAATATGAACTACAGTTTTTCCACTAAGTATGAAAAATATTTTTTCTTTTCTGTGACCAAGCACAGATATGAACTTCCTACACTAAATAGATTATTAAAAGCAGCAAGGAGGAGTGGTATGCTTTGGACATAATAAATGTGCAGAACTTTTACACAGAAGAAACTGTTGCAAAATATAATTTTGTTGATTTCCTTTATTGAACATTACAACTTACTGTAATCTGTATTTGAAGCCTCTATCACACTATTTAAGCAAACTTTGTAATTTTCCAGGACTTTTAACTTGTACGTGAAAATTCCAGATTTGTATTTGGGTCTCATATGAGCTTTCTTTATTCAATTTGAAATACAAGCACCTATATAAAAGATTCACAATACATCATAATTATATTAAGTATCACTATTTATGTTTTGTCTTATTATTTTAGTGTGTATAGACACACACACACACATATATATATATGTATATACACTTCACAATAATTGTGGGACATAAGTATCACATACCATACTTCATAACATAAATGTCCTAAACTGTTTCCAAGGTAAAGTGTTTTAACCTTGTTAGTTGTCATTGAGTTTGTGCAGTTTTGAAGTGAAATGAAAGAAATTAAACATTCATCAAAATACATTGCCACTTTCTTTTTGTTTCTCAAGTCCCTTAAAATCAGGCAAGTTTTGAAAAAAATAATATATGGAAGAATTTCAAAACCTTGCACCCTATGCATCAAATGTATACACCTACCATCTATTTAATTACATATACCCCTGAAGATGCTGTAAGGTAACAAAATAAGGATTAAATACAGTTACTTTTTCAGTTGTTGCATATCCTATACAATACTCCAGATAAATTATAGGACTATTGGCAAAATAAGGTAACTCTTGATTTACATTATTAACAATGCTCACCAGCTACTTATTACCAAGTACAACAAAAGTATCCACTTTAAAAAGTTTCAAGTACTTCACTTGTGTTTACCTTTAGAACACTTTGTTCATCCTCCTTTTTAAAACTTTTCATTAGTATCCACGACATGTTGTACCATTCTTTTCTTTGTTGCCATTAATTTCATTGGTTTTGTTAGAAAATTAAAAAAAAATGTAGAAAAAAGAAAAAGAACACAAACCTTATAAACTAAAACATGTCCCATAGAAATGCCACTTCAGATTCAGCCTGGTTGTATAAAAAATATGAATACTTAATTAACATATACAAATGTTACACTAATAGGGTAAGATATTAAAACATAATTCATACAAAAGTTATTAATTAAGTTTATATGTATGTCACCATTCTATGCCTTTAAAATTTTATCACGAAGAAATGCAACTCTGTAAACTACACCTCTTCAACTTGTTACTGAATTTTTGCTAGCTTCTACTGTATATTTATTTGAAAATTATTAAATAATACATTAAACATCTGTAAGTTTACTGGAGTTTTATTAGATCATACATATGCTTCACACAATTTACTCCCTGAAAATATGGTTACTATTCCACAATTAACCACTACTGTAATACTTCTTGAGATTTATAAGTTGTGCTTTAATGACTTTTTTTCAATCCTGCTACAGCTGAACGGTCCAAAAATTCACTATACCATCTTATTAATACGAAAACAAACCATTATGATGAGTCAACAATATTTCTCAAATAGTGCAGAAATAATCAACATCATAAAGCATATTTAAATTGGTGTAAAAATTTGCATATATAGATATTTTTAGACAGCAGTTCATACATTTTTATAAAAAACATTTTTCATATCACTAATTCCATGTTATTCTTAAAATCTTCTTCCAGTTCTTCAGCAAATTTAGAAAAATCATCACAAGCTTGTAGATCTTCTAAAGTGGCTTGCAGGTCATCTTCTAATGGCTGGTCATGCAACAGGTCATTTACAATTGTTCTTAATGAAATGTCTTCCATATTATCACAGTCATTATCAAAACTGTTCCACTTAGTACTTTGGTTGACTGGGGCTTGTAGATGGTCTTGTTGAGATAAGCTATCAGATAAAACAGTGTTGTATTTTGTTAGCTCATCTGCATGTGATATAGAAGGAGAAGGAAAGTTTAAAGACTGACTAACCACTGGAGTAGAAGGATGAGACTTGGAGAGATCTTCCTCAAATAGATCTGAATTATCATTCTGATTAAGAAAATTCTGAACCATTTGATGAGGTGGTACTGAATGACTGCGATTTCCGATATTAATATGGCATGGATTTTTCAAAACATTCTGCAGTTCTTGTGTAAGTGGGTCACAAAAATTATTCTCATTTGCAGAGTACGGGTTAAGAACTGATCCAGAAACATGCCTTTGCCTACTTCTACACCATAACTGGTTATTCTTATGACTAGAAGTAGATGTCCATCCAGTTTGTGTTTGTAATGAAGTATCAGGTACATCAAGAGCTGACAGGTGTGGGTGAAGGCTTTGTACTGAAATGGTATCTTGATTGAAACTTGGAGTCTCACTATCTTCCATGACAAAAGTAAGTGGCATGGGTGGGTAAACATTTTGTGTATCATTAGCCAGCTTAACATCAGAAAGTCCTAACAGTTCTGTTTTCACATGTTCATTAGGAGAAAAGTGACCTGAAACTGGAGATAATGGATTTAAACTGGAAGTTGAGTTGTGAAAAGAATGAATTACTGGAGTTCCACTAACAATTGGAAGATTGAAAGGATACTGTGAAGAAATTTCTCCATTCATTGGGGACAATGGAGCACTTCTAGGTGCTGCTAATTGAGAAGTAGCAGGCTGTACAGAAAGAGAACAACCAGGACCTGAGCTATGTCTTGATCTCTTTATATGCCCATGGTGAGTAGGTTGAGTATGCATAATGACAGGTCCTGTGCTAAATGTGACAGTCTTTCCTTGGCTGTGGCTAGAATTATGTCTAAGCCTACTAATGGATGCAGGGGTTGCATGTGGTGACACAAAAGGAGAATCTGTAACTGAAGACACTCCAGAATCTATGCTTTGGAATGGAGTATATCTAGTTGCTCCATGTGAAATTTGGCCTGAACTATGACGTGAACGTGTGGCCCATGGTGTTGGTGTTGTGTTAGGAGAAACAAAGGGGCTACTTGCAGCACTAGGAGGCTGGGAAGATCCAATGGCTCCAATACCAGTTCCTGTTGAAATAGATGAATCTCCATGAGAGAGAACTGTAGAAGCAGAAACTGAATTACTTGCTGTATCTGGGTGTGGAGTCTGGTGTGCTGTTATAGGAACAAAATTAAAAGATCTTCGTCGAGCATCTGGGCATCGAAGTACTGAATGTAGATGTGTAAAAGAATCCAAATCTCCTGACAACTGATTCTTAACTTTAATGCCACTCGTGTATAAACCAATCTTAGTCTGAACATCAGTAAAATTTGAACAAATACCAGTTTTACCTAGATCTTGCTCTTTAGGCTCTTGGAATAAATATGAAGTCTGTGATCTTGGCTCTGCTTCATCTTTCTTAGTTCCTGGTCCTGAAAAGCATGGAACAACTTTATTGTCCCCAAAATATGGCTGAGGTGGTGTCATATTCATTTCACAAATTTTCTCATTATGTTTAGTCTGATTTCTTGAAGACACATTTCCTATGTAGGCTGTCTTCCTGCCCTTTAATGATGGTTTCCACAGAACTGTTGGATTTGAAATGGCAGGTCTTAAGAGTGCTTGCCGTAACTCACTAAAGTTGTCAAGACACCCTTCTTTCCTTATCGTTTTATCTTCAGCACACTTATTATTAGAATTTTTCACAATTTCTTCAGATGTTAACAAGTTCAACCGTTTTGTGTTTAAAATCCCTTGTGCAACAGTGTGAGGCAAGTTTTTTTCCAATAACATCCTCAACTGTGAAAGCTGGTTATTCTCACTTGAATCATTACTTTTTGAGATAGGGCAATTTGCTGAAAAATGAGTTGTCCCATTCTGGCTTGTACATGAAACTGATGTATGTTTATTTGGTTTTGAAAAGTCTGAATCATTTTCCTGCATATATTCCATCAGTGCATCACTCTCCAATTCATGAATACTTACATCCTCATTATCTGTTTGCTTTAAAATAAGATTACCACTTTCAGATACACAAGTACTTCCAAGTCCAATTAGACCCAAGCCACAATTTCTTACTAAAGAATTATGAAATTTCAATTTTGTCCAAGGTAAACATTTTTCATCCCCTGACTTTTCTGGTTCATTTTTTGCTGATTCTAAATGAGGTTTTTTCGATTTTTTCAAATTTGGATCATTTTCATCAAAATGACGTTTAATCGTCTGTTGACTGGGTTCACAATATAATTCTAAATCAGTGTTGTTGGCTGAATTCACTGAAACTACAGGAAACTTTAACTCTGTGTGGTCATCAAATCCTAAATAATCATCACATTCACTACTACTGGACACAGAAGTTAAAGGATGTATATCAGAAGAAGACAATGTAATGTTTTCTAATTTGTCCTTCATTAACAAACTGAGATCATCTGGTTTGGAAGTTACTGCATCAGAATCTTCAATAAATGTTATATAATTTTTTTCAAACAATTCATCTGCTTTCTGATTGTCATCACATAAATCTTCAATTTCAGAAGTATTTGGTTTGCATAACACACCACCTTTTTCACTACATGAAGCTCTTAGATGATGATCTGAAATTAAGGGCACATCTTGCTTTTCATGGCCTTCAAGTTTGTTTTGCAAATTATATTTAAGTATTGAGAAATTTCTTTTAAACTGCAAAGAGCTTAATCTTGTTCCTTCAGACACTGGTTTAGGTTGGATTTTTTTATACTTCCATGCACTTAACTTTTGAGAAAGCTCAGCAGGACACTGTGATTGAACTTGAACATAATGTGAAAATGTAGAGGGCACAATAATGATACTGGGCATTGCTTGAGTTATTGAAACATTATTACTATTCCTTGGTATTGGTAACTTGTTAATTTTTGTTGAATATTCATTTGGACTATGCATACTTCCAAAGCAATCTCTGATAGAATTTACTAATACACTTTTTGGTTTTTCCTCATCAGAATTTTCACAAATTCTTGCAGCAGACAATGCTCTTTCCCATGTCATACTGCTGGCACTAGCAGATTTAATGCATGGTTCTGACTTGTGTCTTTCTCGCTTTTCGTCATCTGCATCATAAACATATTCAGGACTTGATGTCATTAACTGTTCTGCCTTTATGTTTCTAGAACTTGAAACATCATCAGCAAATTTAGTAAGTATGCAGTGTTTCTCTAAAGGGTTTGAAGGTAATTTGGATTTCAACTTTGTATTAATTTCAGGTGTTTTATTGCCTAATAGAGACTTGGAGGATTGTGTTTTGAAAACAACAGTCTGTTGCTCATCGAGTTTTCTTTTTTGTTCTTTAATCAATTCTTTTTTGTGTAGCTTCCTCTGAAGATGCATTTGTGTTTCTTTTCTACGACTTCCAGGCATATGTTTCAGTATACCAATTTGACCTACAGGAAAAAAAAGAAGAGAGAGAGAGAGGGTTTTCATATTTTACTCCTTAAATTATTTTGCTCTCATTATGAAATAAGTGGAATTACTGAATATTTCTTCTTGTTGTACAGTATATTAATCATTGTACCTTGTAGCCTCCTTAAAAGGTATAAATACTCACTGAATTCAAAAGAACTATTCACAAAGTAATATTACAACTGATGTTACTTGTATTTCAAGTAGTCCTATAGTGTTCTTATTAGTTACTTAAACCACAAAAATTCTTAATAAACTAAAGGCTAAAAAGAAATTTATGAGGCATGTGATCAGTTTAGGGTTATAATTCATATTCTCTTTCTAATATTTATTCCTTATGTATTTTCATTTTAGAAAGCAAGAAATTCAGTTGTAAAAATTATGTTAAATTACAATTACACTTAATTTTAAATGTTTATTAAAAAAAGCTTTTTCACTGAGGAAAAAATAACAATAGGTATAGCTTCTTAGGAACTCAGTGAACTTGTGTCTTCAGTACCAGAATAAACAAAACAAGAGGTGTGATAAGTCTTGTGATTAGCATACTGCTAATCGTTACACTTGAATATTAATAGATGATGATCCAAGAATGATTACTGGGGAGGTGGAGATAAAAAGATTGGCTGACACTTTTAAGAAGACTCATAGATAGATGCAAACCACAAAAACTTTTGATACACATGTAGAACAGGAGAATTCCAGACATTGATGGGAAGACACATAAACATGGACCAATGTTGCTGGACAACAAAAACAAAACAACATGCTTCAGCAAAATGGGAATTGAAACAACTGAATGAAGAAAGAAACATCAAGACAACTTAATATGTTCCTTTGACACTAAATCTAAACTATGAATGTATGCAACATATAAAATTTTGCACAATTGTTCATAAGGTGCCTAACCACCCCCAATTTTGAATGAGACTAGCATCTAGAGAAAGCAGCTAGTCAACAGCAACCACTATCAACTCTTAGGCTACTTATGTCTGATTAAACCATGGGATTTGACAGTAATTTTACAGAACACTCAGTCTTAATGAACACAGTGAAAGTTTGCAGCAAAACAATATGAGCCATGAAGCTTCAATTCAGAGTCCAGCAAGTTAACCCATGTAGGAGGAGAGGGAAAAAAAGCTATAATCATATTGAAGTACTGTAGGATCCAGAAACCTATAAGGAAGAGGCACTTAAGTCATTAAAGCAGATGTGCAGAATAAAGAGAATTCTGCTGACAGTGAAAGGCAACTCAGACAACTTAATGGCAATTTCAATGACATCTAGTTAATGTATACATTTATCATGTTTAAAGTGACATTTGGCCAAGATGGTCATCTGTTCAAGTATCTAAAAATGAAACTCACAGAGAAGCTTATTTCTGATCGTAATTACGAAGTTGCCAAATGTAGAAGTCATAATAATAGTGGCCAAGTTCAGCTACAATGTGTCATGCTGAAACACTTTACAGGGATAGCAGACTTCTAGTGTGACAAAAAAAAATGTGTACATGCCAATAGTCTACAATAGAGTAGTTGAAGTGTGACAGCCTTAACACATGTCATTTTATATACCAAGGCCTTTTTTATTATGCAAATTAGTGTATAAAGTATATTGCTTGACGTATTTCTTAAAAAAACATCAACCTTCAATTTCAAAATAAAAAGCATATTCATACTTTAATGTTAATATTTCATTTCATGTCTTCATCAGTGTACTATATGATAAAAAAAAAGAAATGAGTACAAATACTATAAAATTAGGATTATTTTGTGTAGTGTTTACAAAGTAACTTTATGATATCCCAAATCAGATAACAAGCAAACTTTATTGGATTAAGGTTTTAGCATAAGGTTAGATTGTGCTACTCAACAAGATTAACCACTAACACAACAATCCAAGTTTACACAAACTGTTAAAATCTTTAACCTAACACAGTTTCATTGTTATCAAATTTGTGATGTCATGAATTTATACAGTATGATTATTTTGAATGATACTTACAAATAAGCTCAGTTTTATATCAGTTGTGCTAATTTTTTGTGTGGTCAAAACACCATAATTAAAGTATAAATATACTTTCCCCAGGAGTTGAAGGTTGTTTGCTTTTTTTAAAAAATAAACCAAAGGCTTGTTTTAAAAAACAGCTGATGCAAGACGCTGCACACGGGATGAAATACAAGAGCAATAGGAAATTAAAAGCAGAATTGTTATTAATAAAATAATAATATTATATTTGACTTTATTATAAGTATAATAACTTAAAATATTATTATTATTATTATTATAAAAACTACTGAATCTTAATCTTGTGATGACTAAGCCTACAATACAAGCAAGTAATTTATTACAATTTTTATCTAAATATTAGTTTTATTCACAACATATGAGAGTTTTTTTTTGTAAGTTATGGCAAATGAAGGATAGACTTAGCATACAATCACCTTATCTCCATATAATTATGATTTGTTGTAGGTGGATTTAAAGAGAAAAGTCACAGTGATGAAAAGTGAATAAAATAAAACACTTTATTAATTATATTATTGGCCAATTGTTGAAATGGTGGAGTATTACACTGTGTTAAATTTAGAGAATACTAAACAAATGAACTGTATTAAATAAAAATAGCACAAAAATGAAAAATTAAAACAAACTTAACAGGGAAAAACAAGGTGGACATGATCAGTGGAAGTGACAATAATAATGTCTGAAACACAGATGGGATTCAACATGCAAGTCTTAGCTCTTCCAAGCCAAATAAGAATCTTCTCAAAGATCAAAACTAGTCTGTCTAAGATTACCAAGAGTGCATTCACAAAACACTGTAGCTAATCAATAAAAAAAAAGGACACCAGAAATATCTCTGTTCCACGTGACAGTCACCAAGCATTTCTCAAAATCCAAGGTAAAGTATGGTAAAATACAACTGTCCTGTGAAACAGTAGATTAATTCCTTGACAAGAATGGTTACAGAAAATAATGCCTCAGGTTGAATTTGACACGATCTCAGCTGAATTTAGCAAGTTGAAAACTAGGACTTTTTTAAGATGAAATATACAACATAGAGAGTAAGGTATGTAGTATTTGCACATTACAAGTGGTAAACTAATTCTTTAGTAATTTTTACATCCAGATATAAATAATGAGTTAACTATCTTTTGTTTAATTTTTATATTTATAAATTAAATGAACAAAAGAGATTAATAAAGTTATTAATATTTTTATTCATCAATTAGATCATCCACTTGTACGTACATATTAGGTTAGAGTAATTCTGAGTTTAAAGTAGTCTTCATAAACATGTTTTCATAAAAGCACAAATAAAACAAGTCTTACCATCTATTTCCCTGTAAGTAATGCTACTGGATATATCTTGATGAATGTATTCAACAATTCTTTAAGATAAAAAAAATTCTAGCAAATAACTTTCTTTTTATTTACAGGAAAGAATCATAACTGAAAAATTTACTTTTTTAGCATCTGTAATATGAGATCATTGGGGTTGTTAGAATAATCCCTTCACCTGGCCATTTAACTTTTATATTTTTACATTACTGGAATTAAGTCAAACACACTATATCCCTTACAAAATAACCAAATAGAAAGATAACTTTATTTATGGTTAAAAAAACAACAATAAAACACTGGAAGATGATTAAGCAGTACTACATAAGATATGCAAGTTTAGAAGATGTGAAAAATAACAAATAATCATCAGTTTGTTATTTAAGTCTTTTTATGCAAAAGTATAAATGTATTAAAACAACAAATTAGAAATGAGAACATTTACCTTTTTCAGAGTCATTTCCACAGCCTGAAGACAGAATGGTAAATGCTGCAACTGATTGATTATCTACATACATATTTTCCACAAGGAAGTAAGCCAATTCTTTAACAGACCTGAATTTTCTGTTTAACAGATTTTCTGTCCATTCAAAAAGGAGATGACATGCTGCCGTACTACAATGATCATCTTCACTGTTAATGTTAGAAATCTGCCAAAAGATAAAAAAAAATCATTCAATGTTTTTTGTGTGGTTGTCTTGTTTGAAGTCAACGTGAAGTAACTGGACTTGAAGTATTTGTGTATTTAAAAATGGTAGTCATATTTAAACTATATAAAGGTTTAAAAGAAAACTTCTGTACAACATGTAAATTAACAAGACTCAATCATTTCTTCTCTTTTTTTCCATGTAACATGCACACCATTACTATCCATTTCTTTAAAATTAGAATAAATCCGTACTTGGGAGAACTGTGAAGAACAAATTCATGAAAACATGGTAATAAATCATGCAACAAGTAAAATTTTGTTCAAAGAAAACTAAATTATTTCTTTTTCATTACTGACAGGTTTGGAAGATAGTATCTGATATTAAAAAACTGTTAATTTCTTAATCATTATATCTACATTATAACAACTGGCAACTTGTCCAGAGTAACAGCCTAAGAGTATGTTATAATAAACTTGAATAACCTGAGAGAGCAGCAACATTGCTATAAAGTAAGGTAATGATTAACTTGGCTGTTAGGTTTTATTGTAATGCTAACCAAAATTATTAATAAAGAAACTCAAAATACTGTGGTAAAGTACAACACAAATGACTTGTAAAAGTTTATTCTATTCATGTAAAAGAACACTGAATGTTCTGAACTCAAATTTTTGGTTGCTTCCAAGAGAATCTATCATCCATTTGGTTTCTTAGGTTACTAAAAATTACAATATTTTAATAGATGGAATAACCAGTTAAGTTGCTTTGAAAGTTTCTATTAACCTTAAATTAATATAATCCAATTAAGAGTAATGAATGGTAGTTCAATCTGCAAACACAAACTGAAGTTAATATTTTCCAACATTAAAAATGTATTTCTGAGAGATACCTCTACTCACATCTAGCTTTCCCATTTCAGTGCTGCCCTCTGTATGCAAACTTTTTCATTTTCCACTAGCCTAGAGTTTCCCACCTAATCTTGGGTGTTTTCAAATGATCTTGTTGCATTGTTGCATGCAAATAAGCATGCAACAACCTTTCATCAATAGGAGTATTTACTGACTGTTCAATTATCTATGAGATTAGTCACATCTAGCTAGAATGCAACAGTGAAGTGGTGGAGGGTGCCAAATTTTACCTAAATGAGATCCTACTTGGAAGTGCCCGAAGAGAACCTATGGAGTGTGACATCCTATACCATTGATGAGTATAGGGGTACACTAGTGGGAGATCACATCTAGTCTGTACCAGGGTATACTCTTTGCCTGGAAAGGAAGGGAACTGTCTTAAGGATGGCCGGAAGATACTAGCACAGTCCAAAACCTGCATCCGGTACTATGTGTAATGTGGCTAGGGAATATCAGACCATACATGGTGGGTCGACTCCAGCCCAAAACAAGGAATTTGACTTCTGGGCAGAACAGAAAAGTAACATCCACTCTGAAAGTGAAAGAGAACTTAGGTTGGTTGGTCCTGTGCAAATCTAACACTAGACTATCTAAGAGCCTGACTTCCAAGTTCTAGTAGGATGAGAAAAAGCTGGCCAAAGGGTGAACTGTACTACATGGACAGAACACCACTGCCTTACTCTCTAGTGAGTGGATTGGTCACATTCAGAAGGCATCCTCCATGGTCCACAACCCCAGTGGCTAGGAACTGGTAGGTGGAAAGAATTCACATGTTTCACTAGAAGAAAGAATGGGCAGGAATCCCATCTACTTTACTCATGCTAGTCCATGAGAGGGTACAAGCTGAATTGGGATTTGTTTAGGAACATGAGCACCACAAGGATACCTCGAGATGTCTTGCAAAACACTGCCTTTCATGGGTGAGTGCTATATTGGGCCAAAAAGGTAAGAAAACTCATCCAGTTAGAGATGGTATGATGTTTGAAAATAGTGACTGGAGGCAGTCCATAGCCAGATGAAGGAGATAGTGTGCAACAAAGGTTTGAGGGGTTGTACACAATCCAGCCTAAACAATTTTCTCCAACGAATGATGAAAGTGAGCAGCCAAAGAGTGAGTTAAATGCCAAATTTGATGGGAGGACACCTGAAAATGCCAAATTATTTCTCCATCCAATGAAGAATATGTTAATGGATAAGTGAGAGTAACAGGAGTATGATTGTGAGAGGATGAAGGATGTCATAGAAGAAAGAGACAGGATTGGGAACAACAAAAGGAAGTGTGGGTAAAACAACAACAGACCACAGGTGATCTGGATCTGAATGGGAATAAAGATGAGAATGAAAAGAAAAGACATAGGGAGCAAACGTAGTATCACCCTACACACTGCAGACATTTTAGGGAGAAAAGCACAATCTCAATAGAGAAGGACATAGGAGTGATGGAATAAAATGAGAATAATTGATGGCATACACACCAGAATGCTGATGACCACAGGTGAGAAGGAGGAAGAAATAAGTTTTATGGGACAGATGGTATAAAAAACAGGAAGCCAAAGGTTCAAAGAGATGTAGGGTAAGGGCATGGAGAACAACATTAAGGACCCAGTCAGGTAGGCTGGAAGAACAGGGAGAGCTGGGAAGGAAAAAAACTGACATAATGGGAAAAGCAAAAAGGAGTCAAGTGAGATGCTCAATAACCATCAATAGTTGAGACAGATTAGACCTGGTCAAAGAGTAATGTGAAGAACACAGACTGATATGATTTTTCAGGATGAGAAGAATCAACATCGAGACCAGTGGCAATAAATACACCACTTCCACTGATAAACTTTTAAGGAGAACAGAATGGAAAAGGAAGAAGGCTACATATGAAGAGAATCCTAACCATCCTGCAAGGGACAAGACAAATCCCATGCATGAAGCCACAGTGATGACACAGCTGGATGGAAGAGAAAAATGGCTAGGGGTGAACAATAAAGTTTGCATATAGAAGGGAGCATTAAATCAGGAAAGCTAGATATGAGTAAAGGTTACATATCATATTGGAAATAGCAATTTATTTTCTGGTATCTGTACTTGATGCATACATTTAAGGTGATATAATAAAAGTGCACATGCACACTAATTATTTCGATAAAACATGAATAAGAACATGCATTATTTTATATCCTATTTATAAGAAATGTATTCATTCATAAACTTGAATGACTTCCAAAAAAATTGAACTTGGTTAAAAACACAATAAAATTTACCTTTGCAGGTTGCAAGTCCCCACTGATATCCAGATCAGGTAATAATGGGGTATCCACAAGTATTTTTTTTTTAGTCCAGAGTAGCAATATCTATAAGACATTACATTCAAATTCAAAAACTTTTGTATATCATCAGGAAAAAGCAACACTGTCTTAAAACACCCTTTTCTCTTCTTCCAACGATGATAATTTTCATTGTTACATGATTCATAAAGCATAATGGGTATGGTTAAACAAATTTCATAAATGCTGTCTGTCGTCATCAGATACATTTAGTAACTATAAGTAAGGAGACAATAAACTTGGTCTTATTTTCATCTTGGTCTACATGTAACTAACAAGTATAATAAAAGAAACTACCAAATCTTCATTCAACATGCACATATGACTTAAGTTTTCATAACCTGTAGAAAAAAGATAATAAACAGCACAATATCTTATAATGCAATGAATTATCTTCCACATGTAGCACATTCCAATTTATTTTAGTGGAGTAAATGGACATATAATTTGGTTATTTAATCCAATTATGTAGATAAAGAATTTGTCCTTAAGCAATATTTATGTTTAGTGACACTATAACAAAATTTATCCAGACATTTGAAAATAAGAATGAACAAAAATGAGAGCATTTTGATAACAAAGGTAATTTTAAATGTTTTTCCTGACATTATAACTTGTATGTCTCAAGATAAGGAAAAGAAGCATCACTATGGGAGATTGCCCAGGTGACTTGCTATTTTTTATCCTATCCTATAATGTTTGTTTATGCTATTCAAGAAAGTTTTACTGCATTTTCATGTTAACACTGAAAACAATATAATATTTTACAATTTTGAGTTTCCATTTGCTTATATTAAATCTAACAGATATTTTGCAGGTTTGAATAAATGATCAAATGTTTGGATTTTAAGCTGCCAAATATATAGCTGGTATAGAATATGCAATATAATACACACACACACACATTGAACATTACTTACATAAAAGAAAAGATAAATATTCTGCACAGTGAAATAAGCAGAGATATACGCAAGTTACAAAAATCATACAAAGTTACTATTACACAAATCATGGCATATGTCCATGCATACAAACACATATTCAAAAGTTACAAAAAATCATACATAGTTACTATTACACAAATCATGGCATATGTCCATGCATACAAACACATGTTCAAAAGTACAAAAAATCATACAAAGTTACTATTGCACAAATCATGGCATATGTCCATGCATACAAACACATGTTCAAAAGTCACAAAAAATCATACAAAGTTACTATTACACAAATCATGGCATATGTCCATGCAAACAAACACATGTTCAAAAGTTACAAAAAATCATACAAAGTTACTATTACACAAATCATGGCATATGTTCATGCATATAAACACATGTTCAGAATGATCTAAACTCAACAACAACAGTTGTGCAGTAACCCAAGCACATAAAGTATTCTCAAAATAATATCAAAAGGAAAGCACTTATTGGCCAAAACAGGAACTGAAGTGGCCATGTTAATAAAGTGAAACAGTGGTTCCATGCAGTTATTGAGTTTGCATGTATCATTATCAGTAAGCACACAAACTTTGACATCCTGCAAAAACAAATGATTAGAAAATTTTTAATAAACAAATTTGGTGTCAATCCTTGCATCCAAAAAAAGGTATATACGTGTTACAAACTGTGCTGATATTAAAAACTGATTATTTATTCTGTAAATCATCAAGTGTCAGATTAATGTATGGTTCCAGTATAGTAAGTTAGATTTTATAATCCTGCAGAAAGTTCTAGCTAAACCACTGCAGCATGTTTATAAAATACTTTGAGTCTCATATTAATAAATCAAGAAAAGACATCTGGGTCGAATCACATTTTATGTTTGTTTTGTGACATTTCTTTAAATTAATCAATAAAAATATTTTAAAATAATAATATTAAATTTTGCAAAAATGAGTTTGGATATTTCTACAATGAATTCATAATACTAATAAATTCAGATAGAACAGTGATCATCTAAAGATGTTACTATTTCTTAATTAGAAAGCTTAAGTGAAAATTTGCAAGAAGTTATTTTTGTGCAAATTCTCTCTTAAATGTAAGTAGTCTTTTGATTGTTATTTATAGATACTTTTTTAGCATAGAGTTAATACAGAAGTATATGTTTATTCTGAGCATAAACTTTGTCACAATAAACTCTGCATCTTATTAAGATAAATTATATTTTTTACTTAGCATTTACAGCAACTTTAACAACACTTTACAAGGAATTATTAGAATGTAAAATTAATTGTAGCATGTTTTATAATTGCTCAGTTATCATTACCTCTTAAACATATTCTTATCGAATAATGACAAGAAAAATTCTGCTTTAGCATTATTTTGTAAACTACATAAACTAATAAAGCACAGAATCTCTCCCTCAACCAGAAGCACAATAAACCATTACTTTCTACCATCAATATCTACATAACATGAAAATTACACAGCTAAAACTTATCAATGATAATATACCACAAGCTCATAACATAATTAAATGCTACTACACTTTTAAATTCATTTTATATTTAAATATTCATGAAAATTAACTTGAGTCTTCTATCTTAATTATTATTTGTTATACAGTTGTACATATTCCTAATGCAAACATGGTATAATTTAATTATTAAGTGTTGTGTCTGTCTACAGTAAATTAATAAGCTACTGATAACTATCTGGTCTTGTGTTTAATGGCCTACAGAGAAGGGCAGGGGAGACTTGCTCATGATTCAACTTGCTAAGTTAAAGTTGTATATTTAACTTTCAGAACGTTTTTCCAATTCTAACCAATTTGCAGTTCTGCTTAACAAATTCAAATCCTGTAGTTGTTCAGATCCATTTCCTTTATTTCCTGCACCAGATATTAACTGTTTATCTTTATAAAACGTTTAAGCTCCCCTCACCCTTTCTTTACTTTTTTAGAAGACAAGGTTTTTAAGCTTATTGGCTTGTTAGTGATTTTGGTGTTTGCTCAGTCCTATGTGTAGGTGAAGCTAATACAACAATGTTTTTACTTTTTTATACAACATTTAAGCCAGCATAAATAGGGGTTAAAGCCTTTTACTGAGAGAAAGCATGTTATAATATAAAACTAGCTGAAACATGTAAAATTACAACAGGCTCAAATTACACATATGATAAATACAGTACATTTATCACTGATTTCTGGCTTTAGATATCAAGGAATCTGTTCATTATAAATTCAAATAGTTATATAATGTACACATACATAAAGTTATGTACTTGAAATTAGGTGATAAGTTCCAATTTTCATGCAACATATTTCATATATCATTGTACTGTTGATAAAATGTTTTTTTGACAATTTGATGACCAGAATGTCAACTTCAGGGTATGGAAGTTCTGTTTCTTACACTATATTTGATAACTAATTTAGATAATTTTTATTCTTTCCAATCAGATCTCAAAATCCAGTTACAGAGAGTGGTTTAGATGATGAATGTTGTGAGTTTGAAAATATACAATAGTTCCTAACTTAAATTTTGATTTTCCACATATTCCACATGAGAGGCCTTTAAACTGAATTTATATTTTAAAACCTGCATTTTATATCACTGAATAGGTTCTTAAAGAATATGCAAAATACAGTTATGTCAGGAACTGTATTACTGATGTACCTTGAGTTTCCTCGAGTTCCAAGCCGACGAGGTTTCACAGATGGTAGAACATGCTTCATCACTTTTCCAAAATCTGCTGCACATAATGGCTCAATCTTGTTGGCTTCACAAAATACTCTGAAAATATTTTAATCAGTATTTTTATATAAACATTAATAGTGTGAAAGAATGTCATAATACCTTTACTTACATTTATGTGGAGACGAAAATGTACCCTTTAGGTTTTTGAGTTAACATAAAACATAAAATTCAGTAGATATAACAATAACTCAACATTGTACATTGAATTCAAATTACAGTAACATCTTGTTTAACATAGGAGCATACTTGGCATACTCATTTTCTCTGTTCCCAGGGGCAACACGTGTGTACTTTGGTAAGGGATTTTCACTCTGAATTCAGTAACACATGTTTGTAAGACCTTTTTTCAATAAAACATAAAATAAACCAATCAAATATCAATAATTGATATTTTGATAAATTTCCCAATTTTTCCTGGTTCCTAGGAATACAAAGTGTCTAGTCACAAAAGAGTTAAACATATAAACAAAACAAATAACTCTTTAGCCAAGGCTCTTGGCCTTCGTCAGAGAATATCCACTGTACAAGGATGTAACATTAATAATAAATGTTAATAAAATGAATGCTCCACTTAAACATGTAACCATGAAGGAAAACTATACCTACCAGGTGACATTATCTTTGTAAATTAATGGACAAAAATTCTGCACCTAAAAAATTTGTAAATAAAGTTTTTGAGTTGTTGTACAATGGAATTTTGTTTATAAGATGATTATGTGAAAAAAAAAAAGTTATACACTCCAAATGCTGATTATCAAATTTAATTATAACATGTTTGTGTCTCTTGTGTGAGGTGAGTACCAGGTACTGTTTAATTGTGAATTCTACAATACATATGTATATTTTCACCTATGTAAGAAGCTTCAAAGTCAGGAAAAGAAGGAAGATCAGGGAAATCAAACTGAATAGCTGTTATTGTAGCTGAGTAGTTGTTTTACAAGTGTCACATTTTTACCAAAAATCCAAAAATGATGAACTTTTTAATACATTTAATAAATTTTTCATCTAATTAGTACAATGAATTCTTAGCATATCTGCATTAACAGCTTCATGCAAAAATGCATGTCTTGTGCTCTCTATTTTGGGCCATTTCATAACAAATCCATTCAAATGCTTCTGTACCAAAAATTAATCTCTAATCCAAAAAAAATATAAAGGTGTTTCACTTCAACCATCACCAATAGATTTCAGTTTTTTTCCACAACAAAGCATTTGGCTCTCTAATAAAAAGTCAAAATACAGCATATGATGTATAAGAATTTGAGATAACCTACTGTAATTTGATAAACACCACCTGTCATAAAAAATATGAGTTTTCTATATAACAAGTTGTTGTAGAAAACTGTTCTACAAAAGATCTTAATAAAACAAAAAGAAAAACCTCACTCTTAATTCTTACATTTTGCAACTGTACATTTTAATTCTATGTTACAAGATTTGTCTCAGAGACCAACCATCTATAAAGTGACCTACAACAAAAATAAAAAACAAACTATGTATATATAAACAATAACAACATGAGTGTACAAAATCAGTTATAAATGTGTTTTTGACAATTATTAACATGACTCAATGTTAGTACAGCTGGATGAAAAGTGTAATTTGCCACTCAATTACATTCAAACAATCATTATCACACAAGACTTGGATATTTGGAATAACTGAAAATAGCAATAACTGGAAACATTTATTTTAATTAAGTTGAAAACTTTGAATTAATGAAAACTAATAGTGAGAAATGTTAATGGTAAAATTTTGATAACTAGAATAGTTGGAATAATCTAAACAGTAATAGTACAAATACTGATTTTGATTAGTTGATTATTTTCATGACATTAATCAAATTAATCATAATTTTGATTACTCAAATATTTTTCATGACACCAATTGATGTAGTTGATGCTCATAAGTAATTGATGTTATCAATTAATTCTCTTGCTACGGGCTCAGATGAATCATCCGAGTTCATGACCCCAAAGTTAATATTTTCCTACACTGAAAATATATTTCCAATAGATACATACCTCCACTCACAGTTATATCTATTTTCGATTTTGACTGTCCTCTAATAAGCAAAATTTTGCTTGCCACTAGTCTTAAAACTCCCACCCAATTCCATGTGGTTCAGCTGAATTTAAGCATGCAAATTAATATTTGACAATCCTCCACCAACAGGAGTGCAACAAACCATCCTATCGCAGCTAACTCCCTCTATGCAGTTGAACCCAATCTTCACTTTGAGCTTAGGCATTAAAAACGACATTAGAAGTGAGGAGTATGGGTGGAGGTAAATATTCATCAGAAATATATTTTCAGTGTAGGAAAATATTAACTTCCAATACAATTACTTACCTTCTCCCCCATTGAGCAAGTATAAAATTACCTAGATGAGCAACCTTCAAAAGCATCTGAAAAGCACCCATGGAGTGAGTCCATCACATCTGAACCAGATATACTTTTCACCCATATGAAGCCAACAGATGTGGTGTTGCAATCAAAGGGCAGAACAAGGTAACAATTCCAAATCCCTAAGGATGAGGATTGTGTGTAGAGAGGCTAGGACATGTCGGACTGTAAGTGGGAAGTCAACTCCAGTTCAGATCAGTAGCACCAGGAGGAACTCGACCAGTCCATGGTATGAGTAGGGTCTTTAACCATTCACTTTAGGTCTAGGAACCAATAGGGAAGAGAAGCCTCCATTCTGAGAACCTAAACTATCATGTGTACAAATCCAACATAACCTGTGTCAAGAAACTCCAAGAATGTACATCTGGATGATGTCAGGAAGTTGGAAATGCAACACAGATGATAAATTCCAGTCCAAAATTGATTATTCGGGGATGGAATATGCAGTCCACAGTAGGTGGAAGTTCCCAGCCCATTCATATGTGAGGACTTATGTGGGCTGGTCCAGCTACAACCAAAACCAGTCACCCAAGAACCGACATTCAGGCAGCGGTAGGAGGGAGGGTTCTCAGCTGGAGAGGCAAACTGTAAAATAGATGGAAAAATCCAGTCCAGACCATCAGCATCTGGAATAAAAAATCAGACCCATGACAGAAGGATAGTCACACCTTCTACACAGGCAGAATGCCACTGCTTTACTCTTGACTATGTGGAATTGTGCACACTCAGGATGATTCCTCAATGATCCACCACCCCAGCAGCTGGGAGCTGGGAAGTGGTAAGGACTACTGTACTCCACTGGAAGAAGAGGGGGGAAGAAATGCACTGAAGTCTAGAGGAAGACATCACTGGAGAAAGTACAATGGGTGACCATGAAACCCTATTTTGAAAAGGAGACTGTTCCCGATTCAGGCAATCTAAGGAACGTTAGAGATGGGCAGCAATCTCTTTCTGTTTACTCATGTTATTCCATGACGGCAACCATCTGGTACAAACATATTCATGATGCAATAGATACTGTTAGGAAGAATTTGAACAATCCATCTCTTGTAGAACAACCCATCTCAACAGTGAGTGTGATAGATCTTATAGATCTCACTGTGCAGATTTTGAATGTTACCATTTTTTAAAATCAAAAATGGGGAACAAACTGTGCTCAACTGAGGACACAGGAAATTACATTCAGAAATTACAAGGAGTCAATGGACTCTCTTCCATGAACAATGCACTGAACCAATACTGATCAAAAAGAAGGGCCACGCTCAACCCAACCGAATAGATAAGCATCAAATCTGAACCAGTAACACGATTAGGCTCATTTGTAGGCTGGTGCCTCTCCTACTGACCCGTGTAGGAGGGCCCTCAACTTTGCCCTCTTCTCCAAGAGTGGAGGAAATTCATTCTAACATTCTGGAAGAAAAGTCTCTGTCCACCACCCCAGTGACTAGAAACTAGATGTGGTAAGGACTTCTTAGCTCCACTAGCAGAATCTGTGTGTTAATGTGCACTGGGGTGCCCTGAGGAACAGTGCCCTAGAATGGGTGAACCAAGTTCCCTAAATTTTTAAAAGCAAATTGCTCCAATTTATTCAATCCAATGATTGGTAGGGACGGGCAGGATCCCCTTATGCTTTATTCATGATAGTCTATGAGTAGCAGTTCAACTTAACCCTGTCACCCTGGGTACCCTTTACTGAGCATGACACGAAGTTTTAGTGATTTACATTCAAAATTTTATAAAACTACTTTTTGTTTATGTCATACCAATTAGAATAGCATAAAATCCTAGCTAATAATCCATATTTTAATAGTATCTAAGTTTTAGGTTCTTAATTTTATAAGGCAATATTTAAGAAAATTGTGAATTTCCTCTAGTGTGACACATTTTCTCTAGGCATCTCCTCTTCTCTATTTTATACATCAACTGTCCAACAAGTACAAAATTCAATGTAAATTACTTACTATAAAATCGTCATTGCTCAGACAAACTGTAATTTTTATAGCCTTCAATTTTGTTTGGTTACAGAGCCCTCAAATAGAAAATCAGACCCCTCTTGCCACACCCACCTGTCACATTCTTTCTTTCAGGATTTCTTAATAGTTTTCTCTTACACTTAATTCTATACTATTTGTTACCAATAGAAAGCCAAGGTTTTCATCTATCTAATGACATATTATATTACATTGTTTACTGAATGGAGAATTGCCAATTTCACTGTTAGTACAAGCTTCATTCCCACAGAAAAGACAATGACTAGCTTGCATGATTTTGTACCGGTTCTTGTTGCATAGTTAGAAAGCCAGAAAAATTATGATAGTTAGGGGAAATTGTCTACTTTTGCATGTTTTTATTCTATGTTTTTTGGTGTATGATTTAATGAAATAAAAATTATTTAATGCATTACTTCCATTAGTATAGAAAAAAAGTAGGGTTAAGTGACAATCGAAACCAAAAAGAAAAGAAGACTCAGGTAAGTACTTTATTTCTTGTTTTTCATGTTTATTCTTTATTTATTATTATAAAAGTAATTAAAATGTAAAAATAGGGATCTCTTTAGGTTAGTTAAGATTAGATTAGGTAAAATAAATAATAATATAATAAAAATGTTTCACAAGGCATGCACGTGAGCAGCTCGTGCATAACATGACCTCCGCGTTTCCCAAATTATGTACAACTTATAATGGTGCAACTAGTAGTTAGACATTATAAGTATATGTATAATGTTATGAGTTGAAAGCTACTTACGATAAACTTTAGTGAAGTATTTTAAATAAACTAAAAATGATATTTGTCCGTAAATATATCGAGTATTTGTTTTGAATAGTCCGTGTATAAAGTGATTTTCATGTTGAGATTAAAAATACTTTTCTTCATCTCAAAAATCTCAGATTTCATTTGTGTAATCTCTAAAACCTCCTAAATACATTTAAAATGGTTGTTTTCAGTAAAACTTTATATTTTGTCTGTTTTTATTGTTTTATTGCCTTTTGAACTGTGTCTAAGTGATAATCCCCACCAAAAAATTTGTAAATCATTTAGCAAATGTGGAGCTCAAGTTACTCTATCGAATTATATAATGCATGAACTAATCAAGAGATGCTTGCAAGTGTACCTCATGAAAAAGTTAAATTATTATTTTACCTAATCTAACCTAAAAAGCTTCTAATTTTTATAATTTAGTTATTTTTATAATAATAAATAAAGAATACACATGAAAAACAAGAAATAAAGTACATACCTGAGTCTTTTTTCTTTTTTGTTGCTCTCAACTGTCAATGACACTTAACCCCACTTTTTGTATTAATGGTACTTCTACACTAAATAATTTTTTTATTTGATTAAATAATGTGCCAAAGCACACAAAATAATCACATGCTAAAAGGAGACAATGTCCCATAACTATTACAATTTTTCTGGTTTTCTAACTATACAACCAGAGACATTAAAATTCATTGATGTATTTCTTGTGGGAATAAAGTTTGAAGTGGAAGCAAAATAGGCAATTCTCTGTACAGAAAACAACATGATATAACATGCAATTTGATATATTGGAAACATGGCTTTCTATTTATTATAGTTTAATACTATATTATAAATAATATATTATTAAACTTCAAATAGAACTATTGGCAATTTCTGAAAGGGAAAATGTGACGTGGGCACAGCAAGAGAGTCCGATTTTCTATTTTATGGCTATAGCTAAACAAGATTGAAAGCTATGAAAATTATGCTTTGCCTGAGTTATGACAACATTAAAATGAGTAATTTTATTATCCATAGCCCAGATGCAAGGTGCTACTGGAGGGAAAGAAATGACTCCATGGGAAGCTAAGAAGGCTGAAGAAAATGATGGAGATGAGAAAAGCCGACAACAGGTCGCTAACTGTCCATCTTCATCGTTACTATAAACAAATGCAAATAAAAACCCTCAAGAGAGTAGTCAACACACTCTATGGCCCCTTTGATCAGAAGATCCTAGATGGATTGTGCTCGATGACTGGATGCAAGATGATCCTAGGGGAGGGGAAAGATAACTGTTAAGGTAAAAAATGGAGGAGGAGACATGAAATGAAGGACAAACCCTCTGGTAAGAACCTGAAAGACCCACTGATCAGAGGCAAAGGTCTCCCATACAGACCCAAACCATCTGATTCAAGCCCACACAGGACTGGATAGTCACCTATGCCACTGTTGGTGCTCCACATGAGCATAGGTTGCCTGCTGATAAGGACAGAATCTCCTGTGTGTTCAGATAGAAAGTGGAGCTGACACAGGAGGTCTGGAAACCCAAATAAGAGAAGCTGTAAATCATCAGTCAGAAGACTGGAAAAGATGGGAAGCCAGTGTCTAAAGAAAAAAGTAGAAATGAGCCACATTTACCCAAGGTGTCATGGAATCTGGAATACCTGCAAAAATTTAATGTCTGAGAAAGAGAGTTTCTCTGAGACCTCTAATGGCCAAAAAAGGAAGTCAAACCTGGGAAAGGCCTCAGACAACAGTTGCAAAGAAGATAAAAAATGCCAAACTGTTGTAAGAGACAGTCAAATCTTGGAAAAGTGAGTGAGTGTGAGACAAATAGAAGCATCAGGCCAGTAATCCCAGAGAGGAAGAAGAGGATCCAACCTCTGAGAATCTAAATATTGGTCCTGCAAGTGATGGAGAGCTAAGGCATGCTGATCTGATAAATGGGTAGGACAAGGCAAGGCAGTAGCCTCTCTCAATTAATCTGCAAATCTCCAAGCATGCATAGCAATGTCTGGCAAAGGTGGAAAGAATAAGTAATTTGCCAAATGACTTTCCCTCTACAAAGAAGAAGAGTTGTAAGCCACAGGAGAAATCTCAAGACATCACAAACTTGATATTATAGTTACAAAAATCGAAGGAGAAGGCAGGATGTCTGTCCAAGGCTTGTGATTAGCTACCTAAGAAAAGAAAGGAGCCAGAAAAATAAGAGTCCAAATTCCCCCCCAGTCTGCTCCTGATCACCCACAAGCACAGAAGAAACATCAGATCTCATGTAAGACCCTACCTCTTTGTGTATGAGGGATTGGACATCCTTTGTGGAAATGGGGGAATCCCTCTGATGCCCAAACAATCTTAGACTCCAGAAGTAGCAGATTATGAGCACTAGAAGACTCAGTATCAGAGATCTGAATGTGAGAATTCATATCCAAAATGTCTCAATATGGACAATAAACACAAAACCCAATAATATGGGTCAAAAATTTTTTTTTCAAAAGCGTAGATATAATGAAAGTTATACAACATGTAAGAGAAACCACGAAGCAAGCATGTAAAACCAGTGTTGTAACATTTTGCCATTGAGAAAAGTGAATAGTAGTAATAATGAATGGAGTGCTTATTAATGGATCTTGTTTAAAGGGTGCATTGATGTTGGTGGGGAGAACCTAGATTTAAATCGCTATGGGCAATATAATGGGGCATAAAGTGAGGTAAGATTCATGCCAATGTTTAGATGGGCAGAAAAGAGAAACTTTTGTTGGGATAAAGCTAAAGTGTGAGGGAAGGTAAGTGTGTTTTGGAATAATATTAATGATTAATATTATGTATTAGTACATACTGACATCAAATTCACTACTGAAAGAAGAGGGGAATCCTCAATAGCCATAGCACTTGAAATTCTTTTAGGCAGGATTAGAGAAAATTTATCTATGAGACTTTTTTTTCCATTTTATTAGTTATGTTTTTGTGTGCCAGCAATACCAAGTGTGGGGCATGCATATACCTGATTCAATTTTATTACTCATCAGGATTTCTATCAGCCCACCCTCAAATTTAAATTCTTTTAGAACTCATTAGAATAAATAAATCTATGAGACCTTGGGCATGGTCAAATATATCAATCAAAAGGGTTTGACCTCCTTAGTCCAAAACTGTAATTAGATCTCAAACTGGTCAAGAGATGATGGAGCTATGAGCTAAAAGTTTGTACTTGAAAAACTCTGAGCCATTCTATGAGCCGCTATGCCATGGCTAAAAAACAGTGAACAGTAAAATTATCTTTTGAAACTTTCCTGTTGAAAAATACCAGCTTTTGATCTTTATAGAGATACAGGAAATTTTTCATATTCAAAACTCACTTTCATATAAGTACAAAAAAAATTGTTCTATTTAACAAACTTTTCAAAGTGAAAACAAAATCTTGAAACTAAAGCTTATTCCACAAAATAAATTTCCTCCTAATACTGTTAATAATTTACAATATTTCTAGGAAATAAACCTAAGTTAAAAAATAAATACTGAAAAACTGCTAAATACCATCCAATTCTCTGTTCTTCATTATAACCCTAAATGACTCTTGTTATCCCAGAAAACTTGGTTATAACTAATTAAAAACAGCAAAATATATCTAAATGTCATTTGGCTTTATCACCAGCAAAAAATTAAGTCACTTTCACTCTAAAAATATCATGATAATGATATACTGGATTCTGTGTATCAAATTATATGTGAAGATTATGGACATTTCTGTATTGATAAGATTTGTTACAATTAAAATAATCAAATGCTTCCTCCAATATTTTTATAGATGATTTAAGCAGACTTCATAAAGTGGCCAGCAACTGACTAATTCAGCATGACACTTGTGGAGAATGTCTTAGAGGCTTATTGTACAAAAGTAGCACAGAGGAAAAGGATGATGATTCAAAAATGAAAGATGGAAGTTCTTTAAAACATTGTCCTTTAACACCTGTGCTACTTTGTATATTAGTCCTATAAGACTTTCTCCACAACTGTCACACTGTACTACCAAGTTTCTGCTCATTTTACCTTTGATTGCTCCCTCCAATGAATTTGAACAAATGTTCAATTATTATTATTATTAAAGTACTGATTTTAAAAAGGTTAAGGTCCTTGATAGAGAAAACAATACCAAACATTAAAAAAAAAATCAAAGAAGCCCTTTTAATAAAAAACAAACAAACTGAAATCTAACATTGACAGGTACTTCAATGGCACTTTTGATTGTTATTGAACTTACATATGTCACTGTACTCTACTTGTGAAATAACTTTATTATGTTAGTGAAAATAACCATAAATTTTTAACTCTGAAAATAACATATGTATATTTAACCAGTTTACACATTTGTTCATGAAAAAGCATATAAAAGTTTTGTAACTTATTTTAATCTCATGCTTATATTAAAAATAATACTTGTTTCTGAGCATGAGCAGTCAGTTCTATATAAAAGTATTATCTGACAGTATTTGTATGGTAGGTGAAGTCTGTATATACACACATACCTGTACTCTTCATATACTTCTTGTTTTGGGAGAGAAACATCTGGATCTTCCTCCAGGTGAGTTGTGATCCATGTAAGAGTCTGAGCTACTTCAGCTTCTGCTTTCTTGCCAAGTGGATTTCCAGAGACTTTTCTTCAAAAGTAAAATAATATATCTGCATATAAATATATATACATATTTTTTTTTTCATTTACAATATCTACAAATGGAAAGGGTTTCCATTACGATGGCTATCTAAAGATTTAGAATTAAAAACAAAATACAAGTAAATTCTATGTGATACAGTACATTTAGTGACAAGAACTGCAGTATACTTATTTTATGAATTTGATTTAGCTCTTTGTATATGGTCCCAGTCATTTTGATTGATCTTGTAACTACCTCGTAACCATGAAACTACATACTATAACACTGAATGTACTAAGTTTGTCAAGTTTTTAGTAAACATTACATTTGTGTTCAGTGGCGTAGCAAGTGTTCTCAGCTCCCAGGGACAAAGACACTTTTGGCGCCCCCACCTCTGAATTGTTTTGATTATTTGTTTTGTGACTCATTACCTACTTAATGACAATAACGTAAAGAATTAATTACTGCCTTACACAGGCCTAAAATAAAGTAACAATATAACATCTCACGATATCACAACTGTAAACCTGGAACTGATAAAGTATAGCCTACTAGGTGTACTTACATAATTTGTAAACCATTTTGATATTTATGTCATCCAGTATTGTTCAAAGTCACATAGCTAGAGTAATCTTTCAAGCATGCAAAATAAATTTCTGTTATATCCCTAGTTCTGAAACTTATGTTTTATATGAGAAGCCAGTCACTTCTGGTGTACATGGATTATAAAACAGATTGATAAAATACTACTTAAGTTTACAAATAACAAATTTTATTAGTTTTCAAAACTGTAAATATACTTAACTAGATCTTGTACAGGTAGCATTCTGATATTCGTGGTTACATTATATGAACTGTTCGTGCTTTTGCTGCTGCAAATGCATCAAATAAATTATCAAAATTTAAGGTATTAAGTATATATATCTTTTTCAATACTTAATATTGCCAAGTTACTAAGTCGTTCTTGAGTCATTGAGGTTCTCAAGTATGTAAGAATTAATTTCAGCTTGCTGAAGGACCTTTCACAACTAGCAATAGAAAACCCCAATTGTTAACAAAATCTGAAATGCAATTCTTAAATTTGGGAAAACATCTTCACCATATGAAATTATAAAGTAAGCAAATCAATTGAAACCATTGGTTCAGGAAAATCGGTCTGTGTTCTTTTACTTATCA